GGAGACGGCTCTTGAAGGGCTCCACAGGCCCAGAGACACCCTGCTCAAGGTCCAGACCATCCGAGGTGCTGCCTGGGAATTTTCTCAAAGTGGTTGAGAATGTGAAATGTCAGAAAACAATAGTTGGTATATGAGAAATAGGTGTAGTGTTGTTATTTTTGACAATAGAAAGTCTTAAATTCATTCTGCAGTCCACTACATAAAGACTAACGTTGAAGGCAACCCACCACAGTCGACGTCTAGAAACCAGAACTTCTGACTGTGGTCCGCTTTGCCTGTCTAGATTAGGCCACAGCTGATGCACTCTCCCTTTCACGGCAGCACCAGCCTCACGCCGTGGTCAATGCTGACTCATGACCCCGTGGATTTCTGAGGCTCTAAGGTATAAGGAGTGGAAAGCCCAGTCTTTCTCCCACAGGGCTGCCGGTGGTTTTAAACTGCTGACCATATGGATCTCACCTGGCATGTAACCACGACCCCACCAGGGCTCCATGACCATCTATCTGATGATGATGAGGGCCTTGGAGTCACGTGGACTGGAATTCAAATCCTGCCCCTGACCCTCACGAACCCTTATGTGATGCTGAGCAAGGAATTTTCCTTTCTGTAATACCTCTAAGGTATGTTGTCAGGACTGTGAGTCAACTCCAAAGGACAAGTAGCATGCCTGTTCCTAATGCTGAGCACTCTGCCTGCTACACAGCAGATGCTCGGTAAGGCAATATGGTAATGTAACCATTGTGTAGGTACCTGTTAGCCCTGTGTCGGACACATGGCTATTCTATAGATACCAGTAGTTGTTATACTAATAATCTCCCTGGTGGCACTGTGGATTAGGCCTTTGGGCTGCTAAGTGCATGGTCGATGGTTTAAACCCACACGGTGCTGCACAGGAGAAAGACGAAGTTGTCTGCTGCCATGAAGACCCAGTAAAGGGTTCACGATAAGTTGCAGTCGACTTGATGGCAGTAGGTTTGGTTTTCTCAGCCTTTAAAGCTTCATCCATACTTAATTTTGCAAGAAGCAAAGCATAAACAATAAGCATACTACCTAAAAATATGGCCTTGGGACTTAAAAAACACAGTACCCTTCCTTCTCTGATTAAAGCCCACAAATGTTACCATACCTGTTTTGGAGGCAGTGCATCTTGGGAAACGGGATCAAGCGTCATAAATTTTTTATCCCTCACGATGCTGAGGACATCATAGAGGACGCACATCTCCGTCAGGGCACTGCGCAGATTGTTCCTCACAGAGTCCCAAGGCCAAAGGGAAGGCTGGAACTTCACCAGCCCTAAAACATCAAACACCCTCGGGTTAGTCACATGGACAGAAGAGAAGCTCCTTCAGTGGTGAAAATGCCCTGATAAGAAGCCAGGCAAGTTGTTCCCTTCCCTTCATCCCTTCTTGTATCTTTGTTGACAGTTAAGTTAGCATTCCCACAGGAGCAAGAGAAATGCGACATTCAATTTCCACAGGTTAAAGCTAGGACTGCAACATTACAAGCAGACACTGGAAATGTTTTCCAAATTACAGCAAAATAAAAGAATCATCTATAAATTTCACTATTCACACTATTAACATTGTTTCACAACCTTGGAGTCCTTATTCTTTAAGCATTAGTTCCTTCTATGGAAGACAGGAAAAACACACTCACTGAAAGAAGAGTTCAAACGTTTCGCAATCACAGAGAAAAGACAAGCATTCTCGCCCTCTCCTCTCTTTTTTTTTGTTCTACAAAAGTGTTTTTTT